AAGCTATATAGAAGCCTTTCAATGTTAATCCCATCTTTCAAACCCTCCCTTCTAAATCTACTTTTTCCTCCCATAGTTAATAGAAAGACATGAAGCAGGGTTGGTTAACCAATCTAAAAGATTAAAATAACATTTGGCTTTTCTTGCCTTAATCCATGCAAAAGAGCGCAATTGAATAAGTTCAAACAGTTTGGCCTAGTTTACCTTCAAATTCTAGAAAATCTTCCCATTTCGGGCCATCCACATTGACCAAATAAATGAGTTCCATATGCAATCCCATCCTTCTGTAATTCGTGAGCTTGTGGTCCATGCTCCAAAATTTTGAAAGGTTTTCCAGCAATCCTTGTCTAACGTGACAGTGATCCCCCACCAATTTGCACATGCCTGCCACAACCTTCTAGCTATACTACAATTAAGGAACAGATGGTTAGAGTCTTCATCCTCATTCTCACACAGAACACACTTTCTTTCCCCTGTATCTTTGACAATTCCTCTTTTGAGCAACTTTATCTTGGTTGGAATTCTGTCCTGCATTACTTTCCAATTGAAAGCTGCAACTTTGCTTGGGAGAATCTTGCTCCATATTCTTTTGAATATTTCAGCTTCCTCCGGTTCTCTTCTTTGTTTAACTAACATCGAGTAAGCTATTTTTGTTGAGTATTGACCATCGTTGCTATGAATCCATTCCCATTTGTCCGGTTGGCCAGGTGTGATCGTCACATTCTCAATCGTCCTTTTAAGTTCCTTTGCTTCCTCATCTTCCCACTCGAACAAATTTCTTCTCCATGCAAGGTTCCATTTCCATGTGCCGTTAAAGTCTTGGCCCATTTGGTGGCACTTGTTTTCCTTCCCTGTTGATAAGAGATATAATCTAGGAAATTTATTAGCCAAGCAAACCTCCCCACACCACTCATCCCACCAGAAACTCCCATCTTTCCCCTCTCCTATCTTCATCCTAAAGCCCGATGACAACCACCCCCCATTTGCCCCTTCCCCCACATTGAGGTTTCGTACATCTCTCCACCATAGTGATCCTACATTTCTACCATCTCGCACCCAATCCAACCAATGCCCCCCATTTTGTCCATATTTCACTTCCATGACACCTCTCCACAAACCCTTTTTTATATTTACAAGCCTTCCCCACCATTTTCCCATCAATGCTATATTAAATTTCCTCAAGTCCCTCACTCCCAGTCCTCCATACTTCTTTTGTTTACAAACGCTCTCCCGTTTAACCCAACTGGTTTTTTTTTAACTCTTCCCCCTCTCCCCATAAAAAACGTCTACGGATTTTATCAAGAGAATAGAGTATACCTTTAGGTATTTTGGTAGGCTAACATCATGAACACAGGTAGACTGGATAACATAGAGTTTATGAGCGTGATCCGACCTCCGAAAGATAAGTGTCTACCTTTCCAGCTTGCAAGTTTCTTTTTAAAAGTATCCACCAGCGGCTGCCACATTGCTAGCTTTCTATGATTCCCTCCGATTGGAATTCCCAAGTACTTGAATGGAAGTTCCCCCTCTTTGCAGCATAGCTTGTAGGCCATCTTCCTCTTCCAACTGTCCTCAATCCCGACACCCATTAGTTGACATTTTCCATAGTTAATTTTCAAGCCTGAGACTAGTTCGAAAGTCCTCATGATGCATTTGATTGCAAGAATATTTTCTTTTGTTGCCTCGCCAAAAAATTTTGTATCGTCAGCATATTGAAGGTGAGAAACCATCACACTACCATTGCCTATCTTCACTCCTTTATATAGCTCCTTCACCACTGCAGACTACACTAAACCATTTAGCCCCTCCGCCACTATTAGGAATAAGAAAGGGGATAGTGGGTCACCTTGTCTTATTCCTTTGCTGACTTGGAATGGTCTTGTTGGGCTTCCATTAAGAATAATTGAGATCATGCTCGATTGCAAGCATTCCTTTATCCATTTTCTCCATTTGACTGGAAACCCCATCCTACATAACATGTAATCAATGAAATCCCAGTTGACCTTATCATAAGCTTTTTCAAAGTCGACTTTGAACAGAAAGCTCTTT